CCCCCTTACTGCCCCTACTTGCTCCGCCCTCCGATGCTGCCCACTGCTACTCACGTGCCTCCACACCACCACCCATCCTCCTCCGCCTGCTCCCACACTTTCTCGCCCACCACCACCTCACACTGCGTCCCCAACTGCTCTGCTCACCCACCCTCTCTCGTCTCCACCACGCCCATGCCCACTGCATTCCCCACGAAATCCATCAACCCATCCATATCCTACCAGCCTGCGCCGCGTCGCCCATGATGCGCTGCCCGGTGGAGTAGACTCTCCCGACTCATCCCCAAACTCCGACAGGTTCCGACTCGGCCGTGAAATGTCCGCGCTCCGAGGACGGGCTTGAGCTTGCGCCTGCGCCAGCAGCGGTTGCGCTTGCCCCAACACTCCAGAAGCCGAAGACGGCCTCGCACCCCACGCGCTGCTCGAGTTCGTATTTCCTCCAAACGACTCGCCCGCCTGCTGCGTCTGCCCCACACTTTCCGCTGACTGCGGACGCGCGCCGCCGCCTCCCGACCCCGGACGTGGAATGCTCCCCGACGTTGCCCCTCCACCCGTCCCGCTGCTGCCCCCGGATGCTGCACCCGCCTTTGGTCCCCATACTCCAGTGCCACTAGGCGGAGACGATGCCTGTGCTGGACTCCCCCATGCGTTGCTACTCGTCGACGGCGAAGTCCCACCAGATCCCCAGCTCAAACTACCCCTGCGCACAACACCACGCACCCAACAACCCATCGTCATCACCTCCTGCACTTCCGCGCGCAACCCCTTCCCGCTCTGCCCACGTCCTACCGCCCGTACTCCACCCACCCAAACCATCCACAATCTTCACTCATCCCAACCGCCACTCACCGCTTCCACGCCACCGCGACACAACCCCCACCCCCAACTTCGCCCAATCCAACACCACCCACCACGTCTCCCACAAAACCACAACCCTCTTCACAACCACTCCCGGCAAACTACATCCAACCATCAATTCCTTGCCCGACATCCAACCCCAGCTCTCACCTCTTCCCTCCCCCAACCACCACATCCTACATGATTCCCGTCACCCGACACAACCCACATGACACACCCACGCGTCCCCGCACAAAACCATCCCATACAACACACCCATTTGCACCACACATCCCCCACCACATTCACTACCGGATCGCCACGCCCAACGTCCGCACCACAATTCACCCAACTCAACTCTTCCCATCTCCACAAAAAGCCACTACCTTGGTACGATCTCCACATTCGGGTCCAGTCCACGATTCTCCAACCTACAAAACAACGCCCACATCTACTTCAGCACCGCGCGCCATACATCCACCCCCTATACCCAACCACAAACTCATCGCCGCTTGCGTCTCCATCCACGCCCCAACCTCTCAACCACTCTCTCCGATCAACATGACCTCACCGTTGGCTTGGCAGGTTGATAGGCTTAGGTACTGCAGGTATCTTCCCCAAAACTTGCAAACCTCGCCGGGCCGAGCTCGCCCTGCACACACACACCCCACATCCACCCCGCCCCTCAATCGTCGCCCAAACGTCCGCCAAACATGCTCATCATAAACCACCCTGCGCTCCTACGTTCACTGCTCCCACCTATCCACACGCATCCGCCTACAACACTGCCTCTCCGCAATCTTCTCCCACTTCGCCTCACATTCCTTCTCCACTCCCATTTCCACATATACCTATCCTGCCAACCCCGATGCCACTCATCGCTGCACCAACACTCCTGTGCGCCACACTAGCCCTCCCCATATGCGCTTCCCCCCTTCCCAAATACACCTCTCGTCATCCCCATGCGCACTGACCCTCCTTCCGCTCTGCACTACCCATTGTCTCCTATCACCAACTCCGTCCAAACCAATGCCGCATAATTGCCGCCATCTTACGCCCAGCTTCCATCCACCGCGGTCTCTCCCACATCCACCCGCACAACCACACCCACACGTCTCTTCCCACACCACGACCTACCTTGGCTCTTCCATACAACCCACCTTTCCATACCGTGCCGACGCCCCTAACTTCTTGTACACCCTCTTCACCAAAACTACGGCCACCAATGACACGCTGCAGCAAACCGGATCTTACTCTCACCACTCCAACACCCAACATCCCTTCTCTACACCCACCCCACCACGCATCCCAACCAAAGCTCACGTACCTCCTGTCGCTTGTCAACATGTTTCGAGCTCCTATTGCCTGCGGCAGCAAGTGCAACACCAACTCCCCCTCTGCTCACCAAACTGTACCCTGCACCAACCACACCACCAATCCCCCGTCCAATGCGCGACTGTCATCAGTCCCAACAATGACACACCGACCCTGTTTATCACTACACGCCACAGAACAATCCAACAATCGCAGCACTGCCTACGCTGCACTCGGTCCACGCTTAACTCCAATTCCCACAACATCCCACTTGTATTCTCTTTCTCCATCACAAACCATCAACACCGTCACTCCTTCCTCCAACTCACACACGCGTGACGCCCACTCGCTACCCCCGACGACTCCAACGGATCACCTTCTCACCGCAACTGGAATCCCTACTTCTCCCCCTCATACTCGCCCAACACATGGATGCAATGAAAACCTAACCACAAATGTGCGCGCGTCACGCTAATTCCAGTCCCGCCCCACCCGCACCAGACCTACCGCGTCTTTCCTGCCCAGACCATTCCTCGCATCCACCGTTTGCCACCCCCTTCCTTTCTCCAACATGTCACTATCGATCATCCCAATCGCACAAACGTAGATCCATGCCCGCAACCAACCATGGCGCATGGTCAGCTCCCACGCTGGGCCCGCCGATCCTCCATATGCCGTCGGATACGTATTTTTCATTCATGTGCACAACCATCGACCTCTCCGAATGCTTCGTACTTACATTCCTACGCGCATCACCATGCACTACTCTACCCCAGGCTCCGTGCCCACTCCGTCGCACAAACTTTAATTCCACGCCGATAAAATAAATAAATAAACACTCGTCTAAACACAAACGAGTACTACAGAACACACACACCGTGCTTCCAAAACACGCACGGAAACACGCTCGCTCATGCTGTCGCCCGGATCCGACGCACTCTCTAGTCACAATCCCCGACCCTACCCCCGCCGGGCAATCGGTCGCCCAATGACCTAATCGCTCGCAAACATTATCAACGCCCCGTTCCCCTCGCACAACGCTCCAACCCCAACCCCCCACCCATCAACCACACACCCCTCCCGCTCTGTCCCCTCCATCGCTCTCCGCGCCCATCCCGCGACCAAGAAAACCCACTCCCACATACCTAACTGCATTAAATGACTCCCCGCGGCCGCGGATCAATATTCTTCACCCCACGCAGCGAACCCTAGACTCCTCTGCGTCCCACCCTCGTCCTTCCACAGCCCCTCCGACGCGCGCCTCCACCACTGCCCCGCTTCGCCTACGCAAGTACGCACCAACACCGCCCACCAACTACTGGCCTGTCGAGACGTGACGCGCACTCCAACCCTTCAGCGCCCAACAACAAACCCCGCCACTAAGCCCGCCTCACGAGAAGCACAGCAGATTGCCACCGGACGTGAAGAAACCGTGGGAAAGGAGGGCCACTCCCTGCGCACACGAGACCAGCTGCGGCTATTTTCTTGATGAAAACGTCGAAGATGAGGCCGCAACGGCAGCGGGAGAGGGAGGGAGAGGGAGAGAGAGAGGGAGGAGGAGGAGGAAGAAGAGAAGGGGCAGAGCACGAAACAGAGTGGAAGGAAGGAACGCAGGACAGTATCAGCAACGCAACGAGGGAGGGAAAAACGGACCCTGAGCACGCTTCGCACAATTGAACTACGCCTCTGTATTCTCGTATCTCCGAGATCGCTCGATTTCCAGTTCCGGTTCTAGTTGCAATTGCATTGCGACGCCGTACCATCAATCCCCCTCAGCGCTCACCGTCATCCCTACCCCCTGGATCTACGCCTGGTTTTCTTTGACCTCCGGTCGGCGCATCGTCCGTCTGAAGGTCGGGTACAGCGCTGCGAGGTCGGGGGCACGGCAACCGCGAGCGGGAACGGACGGGGTGGCATGGGGAGCGTGTTGGGAACGCGGGAGCGAGAAAGAGAAGGGTGCAGGTCGGGCAGGATACCGAGGGAGGGAGGGAGGGAGGGAGACACGGTAGACGCCGCAGCAAACGCCACGGATTGTGAATCATCATCCCATCCTCGCCCCGAGGCGTCAGAGATCCCGACCAATCCTTGGCCTCGCTGCACTTCAATGTTGGAATGACCTTATTTAGTGCTCCCCCGTTTCTCGACAAGGTTGGTCACGCTGTCCTTTTTTGTATCTGGGGTGCTGTTTGGTTTCCTTGCGTTGCGTTGCGGATCACTTTGACGGGCGGTTGTCATGCTGCAGCCTCGCTGCTCCCTGGGTGCTCGTTGTTGGTGGGCGTCAAGGCCAGGAATGGCTAGGCTCGCGGACTTGGACCCTCAGGCATGCCCCTCTCAGATTGGCGCGGCGCATCAGAAGCCACACTGTTGTATGCGTGCGTGTGTGTATGTGTGTGTGAGTGTGAGTGAGTGTTTCCTGTGCTTTCCCGTGTGTGGTGGGTGCTCCGAGCTGGATGGGACCGTATCGGAGGGGTTGCCGTGCGAAACTGCAATCTCTGTGGACGTTGTTGTGTAGCGGAAGGTCGTGGGCAGTGGACATGGCGCTGAGTCTGGCAGGACACCAAGGACGCGCCGCAATCAGCAACGCCACCCATTGTGACACCACCTCTTCACAACATTGCTTCATTCTTTCTGCATTACTAAGATTTGTTTACACTCTTGGGCCATCACATTAACAAGAGGAGCTCCCATGACAATCTAGTTGTACTAAATTTAACCTAGATGATTGGTCAAATTTTGGTGTTGTTTTTCCTGCTTTTTCTACTTGAATTCTTTTTTCTTTTTTTTCTTTTTTTTTTGAAATAGTGTTTAAGTGTTAAGTCTGTTAGTGTAATTGTTCAAATTGACTAAACACTTGCCTTTGATGGTGAAGTCAATGTGGAATTTTATTAATTTGTGATTGTGAATTATGACTTACTGTATTGAGTAGCAGGGAGTAATTGAAGACATTTAATGGAGGAATTAATGATATTTTTTGTATATATTAAATTGCTGAGTTTTGTGTCGTTTCTAATTTTTTTTGTTGTTCTTTTAGATATCATGTTTTGTTATTGATAAGTCAAAGTTCATTTTATAGAGAAGATATTTATTGCTAAGCAATAAAGGTCTTAAGGATTTTTATCAGTTGGTAAAAGTATAGGATTGTTGGACTATAATCTCTTGAAAGATTTTAAAACTTTGGAAAAGATTTCATATCCTTTTATATGTTAAGATATTTGTAGTGTTTTAATTGTGTTTAGAGATTATGTGTGCAAAGGTTATTGTAATGTATACTAATAGTTTGTTGTATCTTTGTCATAATCAATGAAGGAGACTTCATATCTTGAAGTCCACTTGAAAGATTGTGGATTAAAAGCCTTATTCAAGTTTTGCATTTGGTAAAGAAAAATTATCTTTCAAAAGTCTTAGTCTTTAGATATTATAGAGAGTTAAAAAAGGTTATGAAATGGACCATATCATTTAAATAGAACAAGTCTAAATATATTTATTCATGGCTCAATTTTAATAACTTTAAAAATATATAAAAATTTTGATATTTTTTTATAGTTTTAATGATCACTTCATAAAAAATTCGACATATTTTCTCAACTTTTCAAAACTATTGCTTTTTGAGACAATGAAAATAAAAATTCTATGTAACAATACTATTTATACATTATAAGAAAAAAAATTATAGAAATCCATTTTTTTTTCTTTATAAGCTTTTGAGTTAATTTATTTTTATGTATAAGACAATCCAAGTGAAGTTTCTTGATTTCTACCAACTAAAAGATTTTTACTGTGTTGCATCTCAGTATATCTATTAAGTATAAAGATCTTCTTATTCTATATCTTAAAAGTATCATTATCTTATTAATATCAATCTTTATTTTTTTTAATGTTAAAAGTTATATCTAATAAACAATGAAAATTCCAAATTTCAAAAAAAATAAACCTAAATGTTATTGATTTTTTTTTTTAAGAAAAAAAAAGTTGAGAAGCAAAAAATTATCAGGATTAAAAAAATCAAAGAATAAAAAAATTATGACAAGAGTGCAAATTGACATTGTAGAAGATGATATTATTCATACACATCTCTTTAGCATCAAATCTATATGAATATAAATAAATTTTATAATAGATATTTTTGAATAATTTTTAAAATTTTAATTAAAAATAATAATTAACACTTCTTATAAAAAAATCAAACTTATTAAACTAATAAAAATATAAGATGCATTTTAGTTAAACATAGAAATGTTATAAATTTAGATATATGAATTAAAATACAATGTACTTATGGCTCATACTACATGCACACTCCAAGTTGTTAAACACATATATCAAATTGTACTCTTAAGAAAATAAAGGCATTTGATTGGCTGATTTGCTAATTTGACCAAAAATTGACAAAGAAGAGGGAAAGAAAATATGGGACTTGTGCTAAGACTAAGATCCATACCAAGATAAGAAAGAGGAAAAAGAAGTCATCTTTAAATCTATTTATAGGAGATAAGCAAAGCACCCAAATAAATGCATTAAGTATGTGTATAAATGCAATAGATGTAAGTATAGCAATTTGGGGTGTGCAAGTAGCCTAAGCTTATACTTATATAAAACTTAGATAATATTTATTATAGAAAATCAGAAAATAAAAAATAAAATATAAAATATAAAAAAAATTGAACATAGAGATATAACTAAATAGCTAATAAAAAAGTATAAAGAATCCACAAAATCTTACAATTATATAATATTGTAGATATAAAAATATTAATACATACATATCTGATGAAGTAGTAAAATAAAATTATAATTAACATTTTTTAAAAAACTTAGTATTATTTAAAATCACACTATTTTAAAACTTTTTTTTTTTGAATATTACATATAATATTTTAACTTTTAATTAAAAATTAGTAATAGTGATCATTCTATAAGTTTTTAGTAGGTTGTGTAAATTTTAATTCTTTTGTTGAAATTGTTATGTAGAAATAATATATTTTTCGTATTACCTATTTTGATTTGCATATTGTTTTAACCTATTTATGAAACTTATATATTGATAAGATAATTTTGGTAATAACATGCATTAAATATGGGTAAACTTTGTATGGTATTTTATATTTTACATATAGAAATTATTAAGATCAATTGCAAGCTGAAATTAAAATTAAAATTAAAAATATTTGTCGATATTGTTTGTAGGTGTGATAAAAATTATAATTTTTTTTTTTATAAAATTCATAGTTTAAATTTAGTTTCATAAGAGGTAATGATTTGAAATACAAAAGACGTAATGGATTAAAACAATCTTCAAAAAATGGAAGAGACAATCAAGACAAACTTTATCAAATTATCATGAATTGTATTTTAAGATTGCTTTGAATTCAAATATCTATGAAAATTAAACTCCAATAAACATAAAAAAATATGCTCATTATTTTCGCAAACTTTCTAATAAAATTGTGAAAAAAAAAGGAAAAAGAAATCAAACAAGAAAATAAAAAGTAATATCAAATAGAAAACAATTATTTATTTTTATTTTTTTAAAATTCATTGCTGAGGAAACCAAAGAACATGTTAATCGTTATTATAGATTTTCAAGAGAAATTGTGAGACTCTAGTTACATATATAGTTTCAAAAAATGAATCATAATACCAGCAATAATAACCACAAGAATTATAATAAGAATTAAAACAAAAAAAAAGAGATTTAATGATGTATACAAATTATTGAAAAGATTAAACACCTACAGGACATGCAACCTTTGATTTTTGTAAGGCTCATGCCCTGAGAAATTTTGTAAATTCTAGTAAAAAGAACATACAAGGAATGCTGTTCTTCAAGACGGTGTTGTTTGAAAGTAGGGCCAAATAAATACGTAGATATTACTACCTATAGATTTACTGTGCGCATAGGTGGTCGTTAGAATTTGAAGCCTGTTCCGAGCTCATGTGGGAACGTGATTGTGGTCACCTAACGGCATCCTTTCGTTCTATTGAGAGCGCCTTTGCAGCGACGTTGTACGCTACGCATGTGCTGGGCTTCATTTTTTTCACAGCCTTTTGGTCTTCACTTGGTGGAGTTCCTCAGTCGGATTCCTTTGTTTTTGGTGGGTTTGATGTTGAGGAGGAAAATGACTTTTTCATGTTGTTGAAGTGGAACTGAGGCATTTCAGATTGCGTGTGGATATGGAATTGAAAGGTTCGGAGCAGGGACGGTAGTGGAAAATTGCGAATGATGTAGCTGTAGAATTTGTGGACAACGTTTTGCTTTGGTAGTTGATTTCCATTGAGGGAAGAATTAGGATGCGATGAAGGCGTCAGTGAAGGTGAGGAAAGGACAGCGGCCGCTTGTGCGAGCCAAGGTGCCGGTACAAGTTGCGGGGCTGCCTTTCTACTCTGGCATCAGCGTGGGCGATGAGAAAGAACTGGCGTTGCATGTGGGCACCAACATGGATGCCGGCCCGTCGTGCCGTCTCTCGTACAGGCCGAATGACCCGCTTTCGCCGCTGGCCGTACTGTTGAAATTGGGGTTTGGATTGTGGGGGTCTCCACATGCAGCACCCTTCACGATTGCGGCGGAGTTCAATTTGGTGCGCCGGGAGAATGTGTCTTTTACCCTCCATTTGAAGCCCCGCGCTGGCAGCTTCAGCTTCCGCAAGCATTTTTTGAGCACGAGTGGGAGTATTGGAGGAGATCATCGTAGTGAGTTTCGGCCCTCTGTGTATGGTGAGAGGAATATGGATGTGGGGGTTCAGGAAGAAGTCGAGGTCGGCTCAGCGAAGAGGTCAAGTGAAGCGATAACGAGTCGGCTACCTGGTGGGCAAGCACAGAACGACGGGCTTGTGTATGAGACTGACATTGATTGTGCGCTTAGTCATTTAGGGTTAGGTCAAGTATCCGGGTTGGGGTTCAGGGAAAAGAAGTGCTATCTCTCTGATGATCCTGGTAGCCCTGGCAGTACTACTGGATCGCGGCATCCTGGAGAAGGGTCTAGTGAACTGGATTTGTCTGGAGCGCAGGAAGTGGGCTCCGGGGTTGCGGAGCTCTTTATGCAGCGTTCCTTGGGAAACGGAGACAAAGCCGCTGCGCCGGATTCAAATGAGGGAATGGCTGAGGGAGTGTCTCCAAGAGATCGTCTTAATCAACCTGAGACTAAAGGAATCGGGTTGCTTCAAAGCTGGTCAAGCCATGGTCGTAGTAGTTGGGGTCTAACTGTGCATAGCGTGATTCCGCTGGGCAGAATGGCTGTGGGACGCGTTCAGTGGGGAATGCGAGGACCAACTAGGGCAGTTGATGAAAGTGACGGCTGCTTTTATGGTTATAAATTGCCTGTACTTGTCCTCGACAAAATTAGTATTAGCAGTGTTGCTGTACACAGGAATTTACTGTCATCCGATGGTGCAATTTCGCCTGACTCTGGGCCTCTGAGCCATGGGATGAGGTTCTTTGCGAATCCCGTCGATGATGGATCGCAACTCGGTCTTGTTACGTCTATGTGTTGGTCCATTCGTAATCAACTGCACAGCCTGCACTCTGACAATAGGTTTCTGAAGAAAACCATTGAGGATATGAAGGCGGAATTGGACCAATTCCGTTTGGGAGAGAAGAAACTTACTGTTTCCAAGCCTCAGACAAGATCTACACAGGAGCAGGATTCCATACGATCCCAGTTGTTTGAAGAATTGCAGAAGAAGACTGGTTCTCGAACCTCTTCAAAGGATGTTATGAAGAGCTCGGGCTTTAGTAGCAAGAATAGAGGCGTTCCTGATGGTCAGAATCGGGAATCAATATTCGATCTACCAATTGAAGGTCTTCTTAACGACGAATTGTCTGGGAATCACGTGGCTGAAGTTAGAGGATCTCTTGAACGTTCTGCTAAGTAAGGTGGTCTGTTGTGGCGTGGTATAGCCGCTTGCTGTGAGGATGAAGGAAATGGCGGATTTAATCTGGATCCTCAGTGTCCAGCTTGACGTACTGTCCATCAGTGATGGATTCTGGACATGTGCTTTGTCTAATATTTTGACCAAGGATTGGCATGAGATTTGGGAAGAGCTGCCGTTGGAATACCGACGAGATCGAAGGATTGTGGTTTGCATTTGATGACAAAAGAAGAGAACTGGCAGATATATCGAACATGAGGTGAATCTGGTCGCCTACAGACATAATTTGTGGAGGATTAACAGCTGTTCACGGACACGGTTGTTTGCATGTCTTTCGGCTTGCATTCCATGAGCCAGGCATTCGTTTGAAGGACGTTCCAGTTTCTTTTGAATCTCTTTGGTTGTTGAATTATTCGAATACGGATCGATGCATCTGCTGTATAGGGGCATGAGTTGTAGAGGACTTCAAATATTTCATGCTATTCTCATTCATGTGTTAAATCCTTTATGGATGTAAGATGCCCATTATTTTCCTAGGTGTTGTTTCCTCGTTTGTTCTTACTACGGGAGTGCTCCAGGCAGGTTCAGAAACTTAGCTTTTTATAAAGAATACTCTTTGATTGTAGCTTAAGAAATTACTGCTACTCGTCTCTGGATTTGTGCAGCACATTACTTACGTATCTCAGCATGTTGAAAATATCAAAGACGTCTTCTGGAGATGATTCTTGGTAAATTTTACGCATGTATGTGTTGTGTTTTCTTCCTTTATTTCACTTCATTTTGCTTCTGTGGTTGAATAGGCGAAACTTGTTCAAGCTAGCTGTTTCAGTGATGGTTACAGCGCAGTTTCTAACCGAATCGTGTGTAGCATATGGGTGTACAGGTAGCGAAGACCTAGTTTTGCATACATCATGCACTTCACTGACAAATGAAAACTTTCTTTTCCCTCACTTCACCACAGTTAGACAAATCGACAGGTCATGTTGCGAAATAGACAAACGTATCTCATGTGGTTCTGGTCTGTTAGGGGGAATTTCGTGTAATTTTGAAATGTCGAGCAAAAGATTTAGGCATGAGGAGTGCACTATCTATGAAATGTGCCATCGAGCTTACTACAGACTTGGATTTCTACCTTCTTTGTGATCATGTGTGAAGTTGTCCAGTCTCTCCGAGGATTTAAGTATGCTGTGTGTCCAAAGATTGTTATTATAATATGTCTTTAAAGATACATGCAGATTCGAAAGATTGTAAGAAAATGATAGCACTTGAATGCACCAGCCAAACTACTTGAGACAGTAAAGGGAAATAATCCTTATAAGAATTAGGTTTGGTATAGTTGAATCTTCCATGTTGAGTATTCTAGAATGGCCATAACATCAAAAGTGTGCTTGGAAAGCCACAATCCAGTTGTGTTGAATTGAGACATGAGGTTATGTGCCAAAATAAAAAGAAAAAACATTATAAATACCTTTAAAATATGTTGAAATATTAAGAATATTCTTGTATACTTGATATTAGCAAATTTATCCTTCACTTTTGTGATGATTGCAAATGAATCCTTTAACTTGATAAGTTATAATCATTTTTTTTGTTTTAGCTGAATCTAGGACCAAAATTGTGTCATATAGATTTTGGTGCAATATGTTTTTGTACAATTTGAACATTCTTCAAATTGAATGTTATTGTTGTTGCAAATTTTCTATTTTGACTTACAACTTTAAATCAAAGTCAAATAGTGATAGAGTGTTGAGAGAGACAAAAATAACTTAAATTTCATCAATAATGTGAGTTTCAAAACATAAGTGTTGTAGTTCATGCAAGCTAGTAGTATGGTGCACATATTTGAAATTGTGGTACAAGGATGTGACGCAAGTGCAAAAAATACATGTGGATATTGCAAGACATTGCGCACAATTGGACAATAATAGCATGTTTGAGCCTAGATTGGAAGTATGCATGGAGGCGATGCATGTCTCTAAGAGCCTATTTTAGTTTGTGGTTTTTGATTGTTTCTTTATTTTGAACGTTAGTTTGGCCTTGGATTACTTGAGTTTTATCGAATCTCCGAAATTAGACTTGTAACTCAACTTTGGAGGCTATTCCAAAAATAATGGTGGTACTAGCAAAAATTAGTTGGTTGTGAAGGAAAGTTAGAAAGCTTGTATCATGCGTGAATCAAATAGTGGAGTGAATAAAGCAACATTAATATCTTAGAGCCTAATAAAGTATTAAGTGATGAAATCATTGAAATGAATTATGTACTAGTAATTTGCATAGTTCCACCAAAGATCCTTTGATTGTCAATATTTGCTAAAAGTAAATGTCATCCTCAATCTACTTCTCTAATTAAATTTTGACGAGTTTTGTTTTACATACTAAATCTTAAGAGAGACAAATCATATCAATCTAAGTTTTGAGTGAACATATAATTGAAGGACCAAAATTGAAAGAAGATATATAAACAAGTGAAATATGTATGAAAGCAAGATGAAAAAATTAAATAAATATATATATATATATATATATATATATATATAAGAAGAAACTAAAATGGCCATAGTCAAAAAACAAAAAAATTAAAGATCCTTAAAACCAAACTAAAATTAAGAAAAGAATTGATAAGAATATTTTAAGAATTAATATAATTAACAAGAATTAAAAAAAAAATTGATAAGAAAAAAATTCTTAACATAATTAACTAGAATTAAGAAAAGAATTGACAAGAAGAAACTTGTATGCACACTATATGGTTAACTTATACTATAAGCTATCAACACATTGTCATATTGCGTGGTTTTCTATTTGAGAATACACTGGGTACCTAGCTATAGAGGGGTTACTTTTAACTTATTGGCCAAGTTCCAATAAGTTATTTAACCTTTAAAGTAGAAGATAAATAAATACTACAATATCAAAAAGATATTGTACTTGTAAAACCTTTTATATCTAAGAAGATTTGTACATAAGGCTTTCTAAAATATCTAAGAATTTTCTGACATTCTTGATTATACTAAATCATAACAAACCATTTGCTGATAAGTTAGATTTTTAATAATTCCAAAGAAAATCCATAATTTCATCTCAAAAACTCATCTTTATATCAAAATTTAACCATAGCTCTATATATCCATCTTCAATATATATATAAAGTCTTAACTTCCAAAAATCCCCTTTACTTTGTATAAAATGCTCAAATTATAATAAAATCTTTTCAAAACATATTTTTCTTGCAAAGATTTTCTTCTTCTTGAATTTTAGAAATTTATATCTCTTGATCCAACTATTCTATTTTTGTCAAATTTATAGATAATATAGAAGTTACTCTTAAGCATTCTAATAAAATAATTCAACCGTAAATTTGCTATCAATCATCTGGCATATCAAAAATCCTAGTAGGTGCTTCAAACCCTAATTCACAAGTACTTGAATACTATTTTCTTCATGTCTCACAAATCCAAAATCCAAATGCTACAAAATTTGTACATAAAGTTTATTAATATGATTACACACATTCTTAGAAAATTTGAGCCAAAATCTTGTCAAATTGCTCAGGATATAGCTCAAATCACAACCACTAGTAAATCGGATCACTTACTACCATTGGATTTGTAAGTACTAATTTCAACCTCCAATATCTCCCTCATTCCAACTTAAAAATTAATCAAACAGTATACCAAAATTGTAATAAAAAAAAGTGTTATTTCCAATCCCAGTCTTCGATCCTCTATTACTTTTTATATGCATGTGTTATATATACAAAAGAGTGATAGTAGGTACAAAATTGTCACCTCAACTTTGAGCACCTATATTTCATTCTTAAAAACTCCAATTGATTCAAAATTTGCATCAAAACCATTGCCAAAAATTTATACTAATTGACTCTAGCCTCTAAAAACTTGAATGGCTTGAAAGTATAACCCTAATTCCTAATATGGCCTTAGACAGCCTCCTTGAAGCCCATTAGTCATGTTTTTTGATCAATAGGAATAGAGATTTATATCATCTATCTCCATTCATTCATAAGGATGCCCTAGCTACCTTTTTTGCTACCAAAGTCCCTCTCCAATTCTTTTTTTTACAAGATTTATACAATATATGCTCTAAACACCATATAAAAGAAACAAAATAAGACTTTAAGGATCACCAATATCTAGCAAAGGTGACTCCAAATATTTAAAAGTTACTACTAATAAGATCAACTTCAAAGTCACTATCAAAAGAAAATAAAGTTATACAAATTCTAATGGTAATTATTTTAAACAACCTCCTTCTAAAGTAGTAATTTAACCACATTCTACAACCAACTAAAATCCAATAATATGGCTTTCACCATGTTGATAAGTAAATTGTATATTAAATATATAAATACATTATTTTCACATAGTAGCCAAACCATAACATGACAACATGCAATACATAACTAACTTGTTGGCCAAGTATTCGATCTATCAATCACTTATAGATACATAGAAGGGTAAAACTATATCTATAAAGCTTTTAAAGAGCTTTTCTATATGATATTATCAAATTTATCTATTTTTATTTATCTACTTGTATCTATTAATATTATTTAGATAATTATTAGAATAAATATGTATGTCCATGATATTATCTTCTATTTTAGGGATGAATTCCATAAATAGTGGTAATTACAAGTTGATGAAGTTCAAGATATAACAAATTATATTTGCCACATACTTTGATCTTTATTTCTTTTAAAGGTAGTTGATAGGTCATCTTAGCTATCAATAATGTTCCATTCCAAGATAGAAAGACCATCTTAATATTTGATAATTGTTGAGGTCTTCATAACTTTCTTCAAATAAGATATTTATAATACTATTAAAACTATTCTTATTTCAAATAAAATTACAAAATATTAAAAGTCTCTTTGAAGCTCAAGATATCAAATGCATTGTATCTTGCTATTTATTCAAAAAAAAAAATGTCATTTTTGAAGCTCTTTATCTCTATTACATTGTTTTAAAGGTTGTAATAATTGCAATGTCTTGTTTGATAAGTCAACAAATGATATTTTTTGAATTGAATTTTTTAAATGTTGATTCTTTATCTTGTTAGTGCCACTAATACAAAAAAAATGATAATAATAGATAAAAGATGGAATGCAATTTTTATTGAATATTTTTTTTTTAAACAAAAAATTAGTTGACTCTTCAATTTAATTTTAATAGATGTCATTGATGAAATTTTTTGATCTTTTCTACTATATTTGTAAGATTCTTTACTAGCTTCCATGTCTGTTTAGTAATATCATATCTGTGCTAATAAAAAAGATATTCCACTTATTTTGATGTCGCTTTGAATCTAAGACTTCTACTTCGAATTCTTGATTATTATCTTCTACATGAGGAAGTGGAATTTTTCTTCCTTTTTAGATATTCATTGTCTTATATAGTTTAAAAAGAGACATGTGGAACATAAGATGGATCTTCATAGACTTTGGTAAGTATAATTGATATGCAACTACATTAATTTGTCCACAAATAGGAAATAATCAAAGTTTATAGTAATCCAACTTGTTACAAAGGTGATTAGTTTTGATATTATGACAGAGTAACCATATCTCATTGCTAATATGAAGTTATTCCTTGTCATAAGCATCTACATTGATCTTTTGTTGTTCTTGAGTCTCTTTTAATTTTGCCTTCATTATTGCATATAGCTTTGATAAATAAATTACTAAATCTTCTACCATAGGATTATCATAGATGATAAATATAATCAACATGAAAAAGTATTTATTGAGTAGAAGAATATATCATGTTGTTATGAACAAACCTTGCCAATGGCATAAAATTTTTCAATCATCTTGATAGTAATTGATGATACATTGCAAATACTGCTTCAAAATTTAATTTACTTGTTCTTGTTGTACATCAATTTGAACATGAAAAGTAAAGATAATTTTATATCTACCTTTAATATCTTGAAAAAGATTTTTTAATATCTTGAAAAAGATTTTTTAAAATCTTGATATAAACTAGGTTCTTTTATTAGATATAATATATCAAGCCTTTAATTATCTTCCACATTTGAGGCCACCAAAAATCTCTTGAGATTAATTCCAATGTCTTATTATATTTAAAATGTCTTGTT